GCTGTTGTGAAGTGAATGTTAGACAGCATGGTCTGTTTCTGCAATGGAGAATGAATGAGTGCGCCTGTCACGTACACTCAGCTCTTGATGTCGAGGGCATCCATCATTGCAAGCTCAGCTGACATCAAGTCGTACAGCACGGAAACAGGCCTTTGGTTTAACTCATCCTAAACTGAACTAGTCCCATTTGCCTGTGTTTGACCCATATCCCTCAACTTTCCTATCCTTGTACCTGTTCAAGTAGCTTGTGTTGTAATTGTACTTTCATCTACCACTTTGTCTGGCAGATAAACCGCTGCCTGTAGTTTTGGATTCCTGTACCAGAAGGAATGGAACTGGTTGTGCCAAGCTGCTGGTCAGGTAGTTGTGTGATGGGAGTTAGGTCTGCAGCCCCTTTTAGTAGACACCTGCTTTGAGGACTAAGGAAAGAATTTGATTTTGCTTAGCACCCTTTCCTAGACTTGTCCCCACTAATGCAGTCAATAACCAATTACTCTCTCAGTATTTGCAGTAGGAGAGCAACTAGCTTGTAGAATTGGAATTGAGCCTGGGATTTTGGGATGTGAATGTATGTGCTGAGGTTCAATCCAAGAAGGCTTCCTGCTGTAGGTGACTAGTGGGCAGCACAGTGGCTCAGCGGTTAGCACTGCTGCCTCACAGCACCAGAAAGCCGGGTTTGAAGTCACCCTTGGGTGACTGTGTGGAGTTTGCACATTCTCCCAGTGTCTGCTTGGGTTTCCTCCGGGTGTTCTGGTTTCCTCCCACAGTCCAAAGATATGTGGGTTAGGTGGATTGGCCACGCTAAATTGCCCATAGTGTTCAGGGATCTGTGGATTAGATCTGTTAGCCATGGAAGATGCAGGATTACAAGGAAAGGGTAGGAGGATAGGGATGTACCTGGGTGGGAGGCTCTTCAGAGGGTCGGTGTGGACTTGTTGGGCCAAAGGGCCTATTTCCACACTGTAGGGATTGTGATTCTGTGGAGAGAGGATGAAGTGAGGAGTCTTCAGTATGAAATGACATGAGAATTACACATGCACATCAGGTAAATAGTTTCTGCCATAAAACAAAATAAGTGGATGCTGGAAATCTGAAACAAAAACAAATTGCTGGAGAAACTCTGCAGGTATGATAGCAGAGCTGAAGAGTCGTCACCGGACTCAACATTTAACTGTTTCCTCTCCACAGATGCTGCCAGACCTGCTGATTTTCTCCAGCAACTTGTTTTTGTATGAAATGGTTTCTGTCCTCTCTTTTCCAGGGATGTCTAGCTTGGTAAAGTGTGAAGGACTAATGAAAGGAAAAACAGCTGACAAACTTAGGTTTCTGCAATGCCTTTCACGGCCTTGGAAAACCCAAAAGAACTGTACAGCCAAAAGAACAAACCATGGGCAGCTCGTTTGCTCACTGGGATCTTTCACATCCATTTTGAATGCATACACAAGGCTCTGCTTTAACTGCTATAAAAGCTGGCACCTCTGACATCACTGCCTTGCCCTGTCATTTTGGAGGGTGATACTTGTGTCTGAAGACTTGCACTATGTGTGTAATGTGGGAGGAGGGCAGTGAATTTGAAGATACAGCTATTAACACTCTAGAAAGTGGGTCTGAACTGAAAGTGACTTAATGAGTGGCAAATGCATGACCTGATCAAAGAAGTATTTACTTCTCCTCAAACTTATTGATGGGGATTTACTGAACTGGAATAAGTGCAGTGATGGCAGAAAGCCTGCCTGGTATAATAGTCATTTGTGTTATGTCCTGAGTCGAGTTGGCTGAGACACTTAAGTGGTAGGAATGATTTGGGACAGTGAATAATTCTCTCAACAGGCTATAGTCTGTTCTAAACACAGCACTTTCTGCTTACTTTTGGAATGACTAGGATTTGTACCCCTCCAGTGCTTGTATATGTTCCTGGATGAGAAATAGGAAAACAGTATTAACTTTGTCCAGAACCATTCTTCCTCAGTTGCAGGACACATGCAGTACTGACCTAGTGTAATGTCACTGGTTGTCACCATGATTGAATTTGGGAACAATTTATTGGGTAAAATCTTGGTGTTCTGGTGTAATGTAGGTTGGTGCAGTGGGTTGTCCCTGCCTCTGAATCAGAAATTCCAGGTTTGAGTCCCACTCCAGAAGTTGACAACCAAGCAACGTGTGTTTACATTGCGGCCAAACTAGTTCAAGATCAAATTGTAAATCTTCCCAGTGCACACCAGTGGCAGGCAGTAAGCAAGAGGCCAAAGGAAGATCAGGGTCTCTGCTTTCACTGTCCATTGTTCAGGGCTACAACATGCATGTCATTGTTTATATTGCCATGGCCCTAGGGGCCAGCCACTGTATCAGATTGGCGTCAAAAGCGCAAGGTACAGTCCTCATTTTAGCTGGAGTGGTTTCACAACCTGTCGTGGTGGTGTGAGTCAGACCTGCTCCTGGAACACTCCTTTGGGCAAGAAAACCATACAGCGTGTTGAGTCGGAGGTTCATGGGTTAGTTTAGGAGTGGTAGGAGAGCCTGTGATTCTGTTTAACTAGCAAAGCTGTACCCCTGTGGAGTCAGGGTTTCTATAGAATTCCTCCTGTCACTGGGTTCGTCCAACCTGCTTAACTTGTCTTTCGTAAGCAAAACGCTAGTTTTCCCCTTAGTCTTGTTTGCCATTCATTGTTGTGAATGGAAACTCTCATGAACAAAGGTACTGTCCTGGATTGGTCATGTGAAAGTTTTCTTGATTTGTTTGTACTTATGGTTGGGCAGCCAGAAGCACTCATGGAGAAAATACTCTCCTAATGACTGACTCCCTTCATGCTGGGAGGTGGCATTCTGGTGTAATTTAGATCAAATGCTATTTGGCAGAGGGTTTAAATGTCTGTCATTTTTGAAAATGGCGTGTTCTTCAGTGATGCACAGCTGAAGGAAAACGGTAATTTTTATCAATGAGATGGTGCATGTTGAGCTTGGCATGTGGGGTCAGATATTAATCCTTATGATCTTTGATTCTGAGGTACTTGCTGCTTTTGTCTCTGTAGATGCCAGTTCAGCTCGACTACTTCAGTACTTTTTGTGTTAGCATGCTGCTGGTATCTGGTCTTTGGTGCAGGGGCTATATCCACTGGTTAACCAACAAGCCTGTCTGGCTGGAACCTATTTGGGGAGGTGCACACTTGCCCTGTACTTGTGCTTTGTGCTGAGCTCTCGCTAGAAGCTTCCTCTGAATAAAGGTGGCAAGTGGCTCTGTTCCTGCAAGTATTAGAATGCGTTCTCTTGCATCAGCCTCGCTGTGGGCTGCCTCTAGTCTCGGCATTCAGGGCTGAGATTGATTTCACAAGCTCCAGTAGCTGCTGGCTTTTTATAGCATTGCCCTTTTCCCTCCTACATGCTGGCTGACCAGTCTGGATTAAAAATAAACCAGGGTGAAACTTTTAACTTGGCCTTTGTTTAATTTTCTTTTTAACTTTTCAATATCAATGGATCACAGGATTTTGGGATGATCTCCCTTTCTGTCTCTTCAGCCCAACAACATCTATCTTCCCCACCCAAAAACAAACTAAAAGCACGTGACCGGGTTTTGGAATCAACAAGTACCTTCCACATGTGCCATCAAGTTAAGTGAAAGTTTTAAGTGAGGAGAATGTGGAACTTCTTCCCAAAGGGAGGAGTTGGGGTGAATATCAATGTAGACAGGAAAGCTGGATGAACACACTGGGGAGAAAAATATCAATGGATGTGCTGAGGATGAGATGTGGCTTATTTGGAGCAGAAACACCACAGAATAGATGGCCTGAATGGTCTGTTTCTGAGTGAAGTAAATTATAAATGGTAATTGTACAACTTAGCAACTCAGTTAACATTAAATTCTGTAATGAAGGTTTTTTTTGTTTTGTTTGATCATTTTGTGCAGACCCTGCCCCTGACCTGCTCATCTTGTTTTGTTTGGGATCTTTGTAACTGTAGCTGGTGACAACCTGAAGTGCAGAGCGGGGGGTGCAGCCTTTGCATTGACCCCTCAAGGGCAGCTGTTTGGGTGGTAGTGGCTCTTTTCTGCAGCTGTTAGAGTTTTCAGCACCGGGGTGACTTAGTCATTTTGGAACAGTCCTCTAGTCATCTGCTCGATATAGAAACATTCCTTCAGTTTACGGTTCTGCTATTTTAACACCACGCTCAGATGTATTCACTAATCTTTGCTCAGATACATGATTTTTTCCGGACTGGGTCAGGAATTGGAGTACGAAAGATTCCAGCATCACTCTGACTGTGACAGTGGCAGGACCTGTCAATCCAGAGTAATCCACTAGATTCCGAGAGCTTAGTAATGCCAATTCAGAGGGAAAGTGTGGGTTTAATGCTGCCTATGTGAGGACACATCTAATATATGTATGTTCCCAAATATCTTGGCTGCTATGCCAGACACACAGTTCTTTCAGAACAGTGACAAGAAAGATGGTGATTCACATCACCCAAATAGCTGTTTGAGACCTGTTAACATACTCCTAGTGTCATTTTTTGGCTTTGTCCATTTATCTTTTGGGTCTGTGGGGAATCTGAAATCTAGGTTAAAAGTATACTGAGGGAGTTTGAGTGTATTGAGGGTGATGTCAGTAGATTACTTTTAGTTTGCAGAACATCTAGTATTCTAGTATGGAAAGTTTTGGTGACGTGCCTATCAGCAAAGATCACTTTCCATGAGGTTTAGGATTCAATGGGTGCAAGAGATGATTAAGTTTGAGTTTATTTGAAGCACTTGGTGAATTATTGAATATCTCTTCACTTTGGTCAGAGTGCTCGGGATGCTGGGGAGGCAAAGTTTTGAACCCTGTAATTCAGAATTAGTTCTTGGACGGAATGTAATTGTTTTAAGTATGTTCCTGATGAGATTGTGATCTGATATATTGGGGGTGTCTGATCTTTTTTGTTGGACGGGGCAGTGAAGTCACAGCTGATTTTTAAATTTGTTGACTTATTGTCTAGATTTTAATGTCTGTCTCTTTTTCTCTCTCCAGGGATTTGTCAAGGATGTTCATGAGGATTCTGTCACCATTGCCTTTGAGAACAAGTGAGTACTGTTGCTTTGGCTGACTTTTTTCCCCCCCCCCCCCCCCCCCCCCCCACCTCTCTCGCGTCTCTCAGCATTCTGTAGCCATCACCGCAATCCAGCAGCCTACTTTTCAGTAATGTCCTATGCTATCAGTCTCTTGTGATCCTACTGCTGAGGTCCCTCATCGCTTGCTAGTAAACTTCTAACTATTTCATGTCCAGTTAGTGATGGTGGGAGTTTGGTCATTATAACCTGCAGCGGGCACTTCATCCTAAAGGGCTGTGAGATGGACTGTTTTGTGTGGATGCTGCAGCCAGGGAGAACAGTTCAAGTAACTGGGGAGTCTGCTTCAATCAACCTTGGTTTAATTGGGTGGGCAGGGCTGTGGATTCCCATAAGGTTGCAGAGACCCAGATTGCGATTTGAAGCAGAGACTGGTTATCATTGATTTTCTGTAGTGCAGAGCAAAGTATAGTACTCCGCCTTTGGCACACTCAGGCCATGTTTACTAAGTGGGCACCGTCCGAGCAGGATGATCTTGATTAAAGTGAGAATTTCCATCAGCTATTTACCTCCTGAGTTACAAAAATAAAGTTTGAAGAATTTCAGTGTCTATATTTCTGGGGTCCTTGTGTTTGCAGTGTCAGTCTGCATGCACAATGTGAGCTTGGCAGTCCGAATGATCCATTGTTGTTTCAGGTTGCATTGTTGCTTTCTACAGGGCTTTTCCAGAAGGTGGAAGCATGTGGTTAATGTTTCTTTCAAGGAATGTATATCCATTGTCTGTCAAGAAGGCAGTTTCAGTATTTTGACCCAGGGACAGTGAAGGCATGGTAGTATAGTTCTGAGCCAAGCTGGTATGTGATTGCTGCCCTTGTCCTCAAACTGTAGGGGTCACTGGTTTGATTTAGAAGGTGCTGTTGGAGCAGCCTCGAATTGCTGCAGTGCTGCCACCTTGCATATCGGTGTTGCTGTGATGTAGTCAATGGGCTGCTTTCCACCTGGATGCTGTCAAGCTTCTTGACTGCTGGAGCTGCACTCATACAGGTATTCCGTCACACTCCTGACTCTGGACTAAATGCTGGCAAATGGGACTAGATCAGTTCAGTATATCTGATCAGCCTGGACGAATGGTCTGTTCCCATGGTGTATAACTCGATGACTAGTAGATGTACAGGCTTTGGGGAATTGAGAAGTGAGTTGTTATAACCTCAATGTCCAACCACTACATATAACATTGCATTGTTCAGATCTGACATTACAATCTAGTCCAAGCTTCAGGGAAATTCAGTTCCAGTCTTGCTTCTGACCAGTTACTTTGGTGTTGGTTCTCATTATCATTAAGGCATTTAATCTACAGTAGTGTTTAAGTTAATCAGCCTCATTTGCCATTAAATCATATTTGAAAGGGGTAGTCAGTTTGCTTGCTTTTTGGATCAAAAAGTACTCGTTTTGATCAGTTTAAGTGTTCGGTTGAAGGAGCCTATTTTCAAATGGGTTAATGGCTGATCCTGGTCCTGCCCTTATCAGGCCACTTGTTCAAGAGAATGCTTTCAGCTGCGTGTGAGCAGTGCTTGTTGTTCCGTCATGGGATGTCACTGTTGCTGGCTAGCCTAACAGTTAATGCTTATCCCTTGTCCCTTGTTCAAGTGATGGTGAGCTGCCATCATAAATTGTTGCAGCTGTTAGTGTAGGTGGACCCACTGTAGTTAGGGAGGGGTGTTTAATGCTTTTGAGGAAATGGGTGCTTACTTTGGGCTATCAGTGAGGTGAATGGACCTGATTTGTCACTGCAGAGTCAGTCTCCTTGTACACTCCCCTCTTTCACTGAGACAGTCAGCCCACCCCACACAGCGTAGGTGGCACATTTCACTTTTTACTTCAGACTCCAGAGTTTTTTTTCCTTTGGACTCTGCAGACCACAGTTTAAGAACGTCTGCTATAGAAGTTTTTAAATTTTCATTTGTCATGAATTTACTGTGGTAAATCAGCCCCAGGGTGCTGCTTGGTTATATTTTCAAACCTAACGTGATGTCCTGTCATTTTAAAGTATTAAGCAAACAGTTACATAAAAGCAGGAGTGCCTGAGGTAGTGTTTAGGGAGGGAATGCCTGATCTTATGACTTGAGTAGCTGAAGAAATGGTCTTCCAATGGTGGGGAGGTGATAATTGAACGTGTGCAATATGTCAGAGTTGGAGGAGGACTGATCTGACGCTCACAGCTGCAAGACGTTTTTGGGAGGGTTGGGTTCAAAATGCTTAATGTCCTAAAAAACTCACTCAAAACACTGCACACAAGCATTCATAGTTCCCCCATTATTGTGAGCTGGTGTAAGACCAACCAGTTTTGAACTTAAACTCCATTTTAAATCCAACAAGAGTCTGTATCCCCTAGATACAAAAATTGAATCCTGTGTCTCTACAATTATTTGATTCACAAATGGCAATAATATTATTTATGTATTTGTAGCTCTATTTCAGCACTGCCAAGCTTTATTTACCTCTGTTATCCTTGGAGCATGGCTGATACAATATAATTGCTCAACCGTAATTGGCATTTTATTATTTCAGCAGCAGTCAAAATAAATGTAGTGACCTGTGAGCTTGCTGTGTTAATTGGGGGCAAGCAGGAAGGTGAAGGAATCCAGTCAGCCAAGATCATCTTTAATGGTGGGCTACGCTTGATGGGCTACACTTCGTGGGCTGAATGGCCTACCCTTCATAGCTCATGCTCATACAAACTTTCGATCATTGATGTCAGCTCATTATACATGAGCATGTCTAGACAAACAATGCTGGACCCAGTCATATGCAAGAGAAGTGAGCAAGACAGACGTTGGCTGACAAACTCCTGTCTGAGACGTTATCTGTGCATCAAAAGACTGAGATCGTAATTGATGTTGGGGAATGCATTAATGGAGCACTAATCTCTGCTGTCCTAGCCTGTGATGTGAAGGGAAAGGTGGGCAATAACTCTATATCCTACCCTCATCAGGCTCTGTTCAACCACAAGGCTGCCTTCCTGCTTGTAATTCTGTTAGTGCAGGGAAACTGTCCAAAGCTTGGATCTCTTCAGGCAGGTTTGATCTGATTGCGATCTACTGGGTCCCAAATGGAGTATAATTCAGGCTTGTTTAGGCCTGGAAATATTCAAAGTGTATGACCCATGTTTTTGTTAAACAATATGAAGATGTTTCATTGTGTTGTAATTCACAAACATCAGACAGAAATTGGATACCCATGAACTTCTTGCTTTCATTGTATCAACTCGGCCATTGGCTGGATCCTTGTTTGATTTGGGTGAGTGTAGTAACCATTTGGCTAATGGCCACAGCTTTGAGGTCGAGAAGTACTGTATAAACCCTGTTCTGTATCAAAACCAAGCTCATGTTGTCTCCGCCGTAGAATAGACGATGCTGAGGGGTGACTTTTCAAAACTTACAAAGTGTCCACTTAGAACAGCCTGAAACTAGGGACTATAAACAAAAAGTCACCTAATAAATCCAACGAGGAATTCAAGAGAAACTTTTCTCCGAAGGGAGTGGTGAGAATGTGGAACACCCACCCACAAGGATTTGCTGAGGGTAATAGCAGCAATACATCGACGTGGGAAACTAACACATGGGTTAGAAAGAGGAATTGGTGATATGATGGGCTGAGTTGTGGAATAGTTACGGCACAGTGTTACAGCCATTCACCCCACCATGCCTTTGCTGGCCATCTGAAGTAGCAGTTGCCTAGTGCCGCTCCTTGACTTTCCTGTAGTCCTGCGAGCTTTTCCTTTTTCACAATGATTCAGTTTGTTTTGCAAGTTTTGATTGAACCTGCTACATTCCTTGAGCAGCACATTCCAGACCTTAACTACTCGCTGTGTGGAAATGTTTCTCCATATCTTGCCGCTGCTGCTGCTTACCAGTTAGTTGCCTTAAATCCATGTTCTCTGATTCTTGACCCTTCCAATGATGACAGTTCCTCCCTATTGATTCAGTCCATCCCCTCAGATTTTGAGCATCAGTCAAATCTTCACTCTTAGTCATAAAATCAAACAGCAGAGAAACAGACCGCTCAGTCCAGCTGGTCCATGCCAACCATAATCCCAAACTAAACTAGTCCCACCTGCCTACTCCTGGCCTGTATGCCTCCAAAGCAGTTCCATTCGTGTACTTACCTAAATGTCTTTTAAACATTGTAATTGTACCTACATCTATCACTTTCTCGAAGTTCATTCCACACACAAACCATGTTCTCTTTTTAAAAAGATTACCTGTCATGTCTTTTTTAAAATCTCTGTCCTCTTGCCTTAAAACTGTGCCCCTGAGGCTTGAAATCCCCCACTCTAGGGAAAAGACAACTAACATTAACTCTATCTATACCCCTCATGATTTTCTAAATTTCTATGGGGTTACCTCTCAAACTCCTACACTCCAGTGGGGGGGAAAAAAGGTCCCAGCCTATCTAGTCTTTCTTTATAACTCAAACCTTCTCCCAGCAACATCCTCGTAAATGTTTTCTGAACCCTCTCCAGCTTAATATCCTTCCTATAACTGGGTGACCAGAACTGGACACAGTATTCCAGAAGAGGCCTCACCAATGTCCTGTACGACCTCAACATGATTTCCCAGCTCCTGTACTCATTCCTCTTGTCCAGTTCCAGCTTTTTCAATTTATTGATGTAACTGGTTCCGGGAGGAGGGACTTCATTCTCATGGATAGGTTTTTGTGAGCATGCTCAATGCCTTCACATACTGCCTAAAGGTGAGGTGCCCAGAATTGCATCTGTGGCTTGAACAGTATTTTAAGCATGTATAACGTAACTTCCTTTCAGACGCAGAGGTGGGCAGAAGGTTGATAGGTTTGGACCAGTTGGGCTGAATGTTTGTGGCTGTGTTGTGCATTGTATAAATCCAGTTTTGAAGCTGAGCAGCATAGAAAATATGATTGCACCTGTTAAGGCACATCAGATCATTCTTAGTTTTTGTTTAGAAACCACTCTACTCGATGATGCGAGTGGAGGTTACTGTTGGGGCAGTCTATTGAATTGGAGAGTGGGAAAATTGCTGTATGCTGTTGGTATCTTTAACGTAGATGCAGCTTGATGAGCAACATTTTGAGGTTCTGCTTGGCTTGCCGTGCAGCCTGCTTTCCTGAAATTATTTTATTGTGATGCACGCAGACAGAAATAACGGTGCTAAAATGCAAACCATTTCATGACTTGATTTAGTTCTTTTTAGCAGCTGAGAACTAGCTAGTGAGATTTGCTCGTGTCCTGTCTGGTTAGATGGCTAGTTAAAGTTGTCCTGAAATCCTTATCCCTGGAGCTTAGGGGGTTGTCTGTGATCAGTTTATCCTGTTTTCTCGCTACATATCGCCTGCTCTGCGTCCTGGAGGATGCTCCATTCTGGCTGTGATGCATCACTGTTAGTTTCTACCATGTTCCCTACCACATCTGATCATTCCTTTCAGTCTTAACTTTTCAAGGTTAGAAATTGTTCTGCAGCCAGTTAAGGTTCTCATCTAGTGCTTGTGTGTGTGGTATCCCCAAAACAGTCCAAACTCTTGAACGGACAAGTCTGACAAAGGCTTGAACAAGCCTTCAGTGAAAGACCTTTGGGATAAAGTAGGTGGATGGACAGTGAAGGCTGGATCATGCAAATCTTGAGGGAAAGATAGACATTACTGACACTTAAAGAGAAGCATGTGGTGTCGAATGTTCCTGAATTGCTGTGTTCAAATCAGTATTTGTTCTCCCCAGGCAGTTGGAGTGTGATCACCTTTGTATAGAAATAATCCCTTGTTGAGATCAACACCTCGTGACACAACTGCAACAGTTGGACCTACCTAACTGTGAATGTTAACCAGCTCCATGTGGTGTGTTCTCTTTAGTAAACACTCCAGTGTAAAGGGCTGATCGTGGAGTGCTCGCATTCTTAACATGCTTCTCCTGATACTTGTTCTGGACTCTGTTGTAAGAGTTTTATAGCTGCAGTCTAATAGTCGATCAGACTGCAACAACTGCTCTGAACTTTTGTCAACTTAATTATGAATTTTTTTTTTAAATCTTGCCTGAGGGACAAAAACTGTTTCCCACTGATGGGTAAGTGGTAACTGGTGGGCCACTGATTTGAAACGATTTGGCAATTGAACCAGAAGAAGAGATGGAATTTGATATATTTAAGATTTACTTGTTTTGTTAATTATGTCTTAATGAAGAAAACTGAATCAAAGGGGAAGTGATACTAGGAGTGGCAACCAGAAACTTAGTTGAAGTGTTGAATGAGGGGAAGAGGAGAAAATTGCAGAGCGATTTGGGAGTGAGTGGGACTAATTGAAGAGTTCACAAACAGCCAACACATTTGGATGGATCAGAAGGCTCTTGTACTATATGATAGGTCACCTGCTAGTAATAAAACCAGCAGTGTTAATTTTAAATCTGAAATACGTTTGTGAGCACGTATTAAGCAACGTTGGCCAAAGGCAGGGATATGGAGCTAGACCACAGATCAGCTGTGAGCTCATTAGATGGCAAACCAGCTTGTGGCGCTAAATGGTTTACTTCTATTCCATGTTACTAACCTATACAGCATAGTCGTCCTGCTCAGTGTAAGGATGTGATGGCCATGAACAGTTTGTATTGCAGACACAAAAGCATTGACTTTCCCATCTGATTTGAGGGCTGTGTGCTCTAACTCTCTTGTTTGACAAGATATTTTGCCCCGTTGCTGTTCACTCGGTTCCAGTGATCAGTTTTTAAACTGTCCTGTTTCCTTCCTTGCACCTCCCCCCGCCCCACTCAAAAAGAAATTAAACTTGCTGCTGTGGCATTTTGTCCAGTGGGTGTGGTTCAGCTTTGTTGAAATGACTGTTAAACATCTTTGGTATTTTGAAAGTGATTTCTGCAGCCAAATTGGATGTTACATTTTGCCCGGAAAGCACTGATTTTTGTGAAAGGCCACTGAACCTCCCAGAGAGGAAATAAGATGATCTTGGATTTACAGTGGAGTTGGAGAGTCCAGGGAAGTGTCTTCTCTTGCTGCTATTGCCTTGATCCTGTAAGCTGTATTGAGTAATAGTATCTGGGAAACACCCTGAAAAACCACTTCACCTGTGGTGAAAGGGAATGGAGCTGAGGCCCAAGCTATCGAAGTGATGAGCTTGGGCAAACTCCTGAATGAGTAGGGAAAGGTAGGTGGAGGTGGATTTCAGTCTGAGACTTAGACGGTACAGCCAGCAAGAATGTGGTGAAGGAGAGGATGTTATTGAGAAGCTTAATCTTGTCCTGTCCATGTGTTTGTAGTTTGTCCTTTCCAAGCTGAGCCACAGATTCATTACTAACGAGAAGGCGACACATCCTGCTGGATTTCTGTAAACCGCTATACCACCATCCCTCCCTCCCCTCCGTGTCATTTCTGATTTTGATGGAGAATACTTCATTGGGAGCTCTCATCACTACAACTGGGGACAGGAAATCTGCATTCCTTACTCATCTGGTTGAATAGTTTGAAGTCTTCAGAAGAGTGTATCTTGTTGGGTGTCTACCTGGAAAGCCTGCACAGCTTTTGATTATGGAATCCCTTTTGCAGCATCTTAATGAGATTGAATGTTGTGGGAATAATGGTCTTCATCAGTGCTGAATTGAAAGCTGGTAGCCAGAATGTGATAAATTAGTGGTTTCTGCCTCCTTGTTGGCTGGTCACCAATGGTATAGCGAGAATAAAATTTATCATTTTCATCAGGCCTAGAGCAAATTTTTGTGGGAATGATCTGTAGGACGATGAACAACCAAGTGTTGAGGGTTGAAGTTTGTTTGGCAATTGCAGGTAGCTCTCGATGGTAAATGCTGTTTAACTCTGAAGTGTAACATTACGTATGAAGGCCGGTACAATGCTGAACTATGCAGAGAAGCAGTGTATTGAGGCTGTGGTAAAGCCTCCAGTTTGAATTCAGCTTTGACTGTCTCGTGAGAAATATTATAGATTTAGTGCAGAGCAGATTCACACGATTAAACCTGTTGAAAGCACTATTGAAGACTCCCATAGATTCAAGAACAATCTATACTGCAGAGAAGTGGTAGATGTTAGGTGATTTACCTGAGGTTTGTTATAGTCACAGTTACACAGCACAGAAACAGACCCTTTGGTCCAACCTTCCCATACTGACCAGATATCCTAAACTGATCTAGTCCCATTTGCCAGCATTTTGCACATATCTGTCTCACCCCTTCCTATTTGTGTATCCAGATGGCTTTTAAATGTTATTGTACCTGCCTCCACACCACCTCTGGCAGCTTGTTACATACACGCACCACCCTCTACGTGGAAAAAGTTGTCCTTGAGTTTCCCCCCTCTCACCTTTTAAACCTATGCCATCTAGTTTTGGACTCCCATACCCTGGGGAAAGACCTTGGCTATTCACCCTATCCATGCCCCTCACGCTTTTATAAATCTCTGTAAGATCACCCCTCAGCTCCTGACAATCTGGGCAATGTTTTTGCAAATTTTTTCTGAACCCTTAAGTTTAACAACTTTCCTGCAGTGGGGAGACCAGAATTGAATACAGTATTCCAAAAGTGGCCTAACCAATGTCCTGTATAGCTGCAACATAATATCTCAACTCCTATAATCCATCCACTGACCAATGAAGACAAGCATGCCAAACACCACCTTCTTCACCCTGTAGACTCCACTTTTTCAAGGAACTATACCTGCACCCCAAGGTCTCTGTTCGACAACACTCCCCAGGGCCCTCCCATTAAGTGTAAAAGTCCTGCCTTGATTTGCCTTTCCAAAATACAACACCTCATTTATCTTAAAATAAACTCCATCTGCCATTCCATTGTAAAGGAGATTTTGTTGCTGTAGAGGCAGGAGTTGGATACACGTTAGGCAGGTCCAGAAAATAGTGAATTAGGCTGTCCTTGTGCAGTGAATGTTAGTTCATTGGGTATCATTGAGGCAGTGGCTTCTGGTCAGTGTAGCAAGCTTCACCTAGGCAATGTAGATGTTACAATATAAATCAGGGTTGGTGTGATCTTGATTTTGTTCTAGATTCCTGATAGAATTTGAAATTCCTCAGATCATCCCCAGCCTTAAATTGGCTGCACTTAAATCTGTTGTACCTCTCTCAGTAGATCAGTACTCTTGGGGAGAGTGTCTGTTGCACACTAGCAATTTCAGCTTTGGACAAGTCAGATGGGCCTTTACCTTAGGATGTTGGGGATCAATTTTAATGGCCCAAATGTTGACCTATTTTGTATCCACTAACTCGGTACATACCAAAACACCAGGCCTCTTCCCTGGTGCTGGCTATAGTTATGCTCTATCTTATCAGTTATGTTGTCATAGGAGCTGAAAACTCAGGTCTTTAAATAGTCTGTCATGTTAATAACAATTCCTTGGAGAAATCCCCATTCTTTTAGCCCATATATGACCATAGGCCCACATCTACAGTTGACTCTTCATGAAGTGTTTTAGAAAGCTGTTTCATTGAAAATGATACTCCTGGTTCAAGGCTCCACAGTGGTTGATGCAGTCCTTGACTGGAGCAGTAAGAGATGAGCACTCTTGCATTCTGTATTCTCTATCTGTATGGGAGGAGAACTGGAGGAGTCCTCTGCTTCTGGACCATGTTCCAAATTCCTGAACTAGCCGCAGTGACCTTGTCACTTCGTTCTCTATCCACAGTTGGCAACCTGAGCAACAACTTCCATTCAGTGATGTGCGCTTACCGCCTCCTGCAGATTTCAACAAAGAGATCAGCGAAGGGGATGAAGTTGAGGTAAGACTGGTGCAGATATTTTTAATTGCTAATGTTCAGGGGTTATATTGTCTTTGGATTTACTAACAACCCCACCAGGACCAATACAAGCAGAACAACTTGCTCATGGTGCCTGCAATGCTCTTGTTGAACTTGTAATGGAACTTTAATTTTCTGTGCTATATAACATTAAGTTAGAGACGTCTGAACTCTTGTCTCCCACCTTGATTTCATGAGCCTCCATACTCTTGCTCAACAAAAATGTGTCAAATAAACATTTGACACGTTTCTAAAGAGAAGTTCTAACGAGGAGCCATATTGGACTCCATGTTAATTTTTTCTCTCTCCACAAATACTTCCAGACCTTTCGAGTTTCTAAAACGTAGTTTTTGTTTCACGAATCTATCCATCTGCTTCAATTTTCAGTTGACTCGGCATTAATCTGGAGAGAGTTCCAGATTTCCACACCTTTTTATTTAAACTAGTGCTCCGCAACGTTACCCCTGGACAGCCTAGTTGCATTCCCTTCTCTCTCCACCCTCCCAACCCATCAGAAATAGTTTCTCCCTGTTGATCCTATTGAATTCTTAATAATCTTGGTAACCTCTGATCACACTTTCAGCTTCTAAATTCAAGGGAATACACGTCTGGTTTACTCCACCAATACTTGCAATTTAACTTTGTTACAGGATCATTCTGGTGAATCTGTTCTGCTCCCCCTGCAAAGCTCTTTCCCGATGTGCAGTTTAACTGAGTTTTATATCCAGATGTGTAGTATCTACCCTCAATTATGCACTTCCCTGGTGATGAAGGCCAGTACTCCATTAGCCCTCGGTTTTTAATCTGTTCTGTAGCTTTAACTTTTGAATACCCTGTAATCTGCTCTGATGTGCAGTTAGTGACAGCCTAGTATTTGTAGGGGCATTCTTTCTACAAAATAACTGTGTGGCTTTATTCACGCCAAAATGGGAGGGCAGAACTAATTATTTGAAGTCATTGAGCTTCCTCAATCTTGGGGCCAGAAGGCTGTAAAGTGCCAAGTTGCAAGGTGAGATGGTGTTTCTTCAACTTGCGTTGGACTGGACTAGAACATTACAGTATGCCAAGGACCAGTATATGAATGTGGCAAGGAGGTGCTGAACTGAAATGGCAAGCAGCCAGAAGCTTAGTGTCATTCTTGCAGACTGAGCAGAGGCGTTCTGCAAAGCAATCACCCAGTCTGTTTTGTCCATTGAAACAAAACTGAGCAAAGTCACTGTGGTAATATTTCAGGTATACTCCAGAGCTAACGAACACGAACCCTGTGGGTGGTGGATGGCAAGTGTGCGGATGATGAAAGGAGATGTGAGTATTCACTGTAGCTGTTTCTGTGATCCTTTTAGGATCCAAACCAGAGGGAACAAGGAGAAGCTTTTCAGAACACACATCCAAAAAGCTGTCCTATGGAGAAAAGCAAATAACTGAATGCTGGAAATCTGAAACAAAAACAGTTGGAGAAACCCAACAGGTCTGGCAGCATCTGGAGAGAGAAAGCAGAGTTAATGGTAACCTGACAGATGGTGACAATTCTGAAGAAGGGTCACTGGACCCAGAATGTTGACTCTGCTTTCTCTCCACAGTGGCTATCATACCTGCTGGGCTTCTCCAGCTATTTGTTTTTATTTGAAGTGGTTACATAGCCTCTTTGTTTCAAAACAACACGGAAGTAACATGTATAAATGCTAAATTCCAGGAGATTACCAAAAGTAGAAATGGTGTGAGTCCCTTCTGTACATTTTA